CCCCCCCCCCCCCCCCGCCCCAAATACGTTAACTATTAAAAGGTATGCTTTTTAAATTGAATGTTGCAAAAATTCGGCAGCTTAACTACCCTTGAAAAACCCTAAATGCGATACACAAACTCTTGTTGTTGAATAGCATGATCTCTGCTATGTAATGTCTGTCTTACATGTATGTTTTGAGATGGCCCGTTTATTACAGTCCTAAATCACCACACATTTAGCTTTTTATCTACCTACCACAGGCCTTTGTAACTATTCACACTGCTCGCCTTCGTCCCCTGTGTTTAGCTCCGGCACCTACCAGTCATCTGGCCGGACTGTGGCTGTCAGGTACACTCAGGGCAACTGGGAAGGTGAACTGGGCACTGACCGTGTCTCCATTCCCAACGGCCCAAATGGGAATTTCACCATCAACATAGCTGCCATCCTGTCATCTGAGGGCTTCTTCCTTCCTAGGGTCAACTGGCAGGGCATCCTGGGCCTGGCCTATCCCGCACTGGCAAGGGTGAGAGAGAGAGAGAGAAGCTCTTAAAGTTTAAATCTTACTTTGAATGGTAGTTCAAGGAGGCTACGTTTTTTTTTTTTTTTTTTACATTTGCAGTCTCAAAACAATACAATAAAATACAAACAAACAAAAGCGAAACAGTCTGCAAAACAATACATCACATATTAAAAAACACCATACAAAATAAACATTACACAGTCTCCATATTGGAAAACAGTTGGTTCCATACAAAGTTTAAGATCAGTGATCACATGATCGCTTTTTCTTGAGCTTCTTATTTTTTCTTTTTTAAAAGTGCTATTGGGAGCATTTCTGTTGCCTCTCCCGGCGGCTCGTAGCTTACTGTGCTAACAGCGCTAACAGTGCAAACTACAGCAAAAATAGGACAGGGGTCCTCCTGTTCCTCTGGTATTCCACCACAAGCTCAATGGTTTTGCTGATATTCAGCTTCAGGTGATTGCCGTTGCACCATGTGATGAAGCTCTCTATCGGTCCTCTGTACTCCATAATAATAATAGTCTCTAAGTGAAGATAGCAGGCTTCTCACAGGAAGTGATTCACTGGAATCATACATGTCAGTATTGTGAATACTTCCATTTCGCCAAAGAAATACACTTTTTATTAAGTTTCTTCAAAGTCTGGACAGAAATGGATATGAACTTGACTGGTTGGTGGAGGCATTCAACTGTGAGGTGGCCATTCTAGTTATAACTTGTTTTTTTTTGAGGTCTGACTTTGTGTCGCGATCATTGAGGAATATACCATGAGGTAGGATTGCCATTATTTGCAGTAAAGAACTAACTATCAACAGTAAATGTACAGTATAACTTTTATATGATCTTCATCAAATGATGGCGAAAAAGATATCGGGTTTTATCAAGTTAATCAAGCAGTACTACATGACTTCCTGCTGTCCTACATGCCTTTTACAGCATTGAATAACTTTGAGATCTTATCTGGGTTTAGTCATGGACATTTCAGATGACAACAGACATTTCATGTTCATGCTTTATTTTTAGCAACAAGGATGTGATGCTTTTGCATAATAAAAAAACAACTCAAAAGTATTACCCTGCTGTACCAGATCAGTGAATTAGTTTTGTCATGGGTTAATTAATGGACTTGGAACATTCATTTCATTGGATAAAAACTACATATGATTATCCGGCCTCCTCATTAGAAAAATCTAAATTCCTTTATTGTGGAAGAAGCACATTTTCAGAGTGCTAGGCTTTTCTTTCAGTCAATTTAATTAATTTACAAGACACCTTATATACCAGGGGGTAAAAACAGTAAAAACTCCCAGAACTGCTGTATCTCTGAACTATCTCTTTAACCAAATCATGCAAATATAGGCTGTTCTATGTGATCCTCATTTGAAAACTAATATTTTCTCACTTCCATTCTCTGCGCCTCCCCTGAAACTGCTATACAGTGTGTGACACAGGCACAGAACCAAGGTGTCTTTAACGCTATGATATAGTGTCGATGGGACAAGGATGACATCGGTGACATTCGTTCATTCTATGCCGACCACAGCAACCTTTGGTACCGAATGCCAGTGATGGAGGGGCAGATATGCTCACACTGACCACTTTGTTTCTGCTGGCGTCTCCTGAGTGTTCACGGTCAACTTTCCCGAGGGCTGTTTGTCATGCGTGACTTGAAAACGCAGCACTGATCTGAAGAACACAGGATGCCCTACCAGAGAGGAGAACATTCTAGACCACTGCTACACCACAATCAGCAGGGCCTATCACGCCATCCCTCGTGCTGCACTGGGACTCTCTGACCACGTCATGGTCCATCTGATTCCTGCTTACAGGCAGAAATTAAAGCTCTGCAAACCTGTGGTGAAGAAATTCAAGAAGTGGACCAGTGAAGCTATGGAGGACCTTCGAGCATGTTTGGACTGTACAGACTGGGATGTTTTCAGGACTGCTACCAACATTCTGGATGAGTACACAGAGGCTGTGACTTCATATATCAGCTTCTGTGAGGACAGCTGTGTTCCAAGCACCAGGGTGAGTTGCAACAACGACAAACCCTGGTTCACAGCAGAACTCAGAAAGCTAAGGCTGCAGAAAGATCAGGCTTTTAGGAGTGGGGACAAGGACTTGTACAAAGAGTCAAAGTACAGGTTTAGCAAGGCGGTGAGGAAAGCTAAACGTCTGTACTCTGAGAAACTGCAACATCAGCTCTCAGCCAATGACTCTGCTTCTGTCTGGAGAGGTCTGACAGATTACCAACTACAAGCCAAAAACCCCCCACTCCATGAATGACCTCCGCCTGGCAGACGAGCTGAATGAGTTCTACTGCAGATTCGAAAGACAATGGGACAGTCCTGACTCCATCCCCCACAGCCCCATCAACCAGCCCCAGACCACCAGCCCAGCAGGGGCCCATGCCTCTGTATCACCCATCCCAGCGCTCCCCCACCCCCCTCCCCAGTGACGATTCTCTCTATTCTGGAGAGTGATGTCAACAGGCTTTTTAAAAAAACAGAACCCCCGCAAAGCAGCCGGCCCAGACTTGGTCTCCCCCTCCACCCTGAATCATTGTGCTGATCAGCTGTCTCCGGTGTTCACAGACATCTTTAACACCTCCCTGGAGACATGCCACGTACCAGCCTGCTTCAAGGCCTCCACCATCATCCCTGTCCCTAAAAAAAAAAAAAAAAAAAACCAAGGATCACAGGACTCAATGACTACAGGCCCGTCGCCCTGACCTCTGTGGTCATGAAGTCTTTTGAGCGCCTTGTCCTGTCCCACCTAAAAACCCTCACCGACCCACTCCTGGACCCCCTGCAGTTCGCCTACAGAGCCAACAGATCTGTAGATGACGCAGTCAACATGGCCCTTCACTTCATCCTCCAGCATCTGGACTCCCCAGGAACCTACGCTAGGATCCTGTTTGTGGACTTCAGCTCTGCTTTCATCATCCTGTCTCTGCTGCATAGCAAGCTCTCCCAGCTGCAGGTGCCCGACTCCACCTGCAAGTGGATCACAGACTTCCTGTCTGACAGGAAGCAGCATGTGAAGCTGGGAAAGCACGTCTCAGCCTCCAGGGACCATCAGCACCGGTTCCCCCCCAAGGCTGCGTTCTTTCCCCTCTGCTCTTCTCCCTGTACACCAACAGCTGCACCTCCACTCACCAGTCCGTCAAGCTCCTGAAGTTCGCGGACATTGGACTCATCTCTGGTGGGGATGGACAAGTCCACACGCGCATTCTTACGGATACACTCGTACACAGTGATCAGAATTATTTATTTATTTGTTTTTTCAATAGTTTTCAGTTCAGTTGTGTATTTCTTTAATTCACACACAACATTTTGTTTTTACATTTTCATTCCTTTTTCTTTTTTTTTTTTTTTTTTTTTCTGACCGTAATAATTTATTTTACTGGCTGTCTATACTTAATGTACTCTAAGTCAGTATGATACTCATGTGTTAATGATTGCACATCTCCTGTCTCTCGATTAGCCGGACTCGTCCGTGGAGCCCTTCTTCAACTCTTTGGTGCAACAGCTGGGAATTCCGGACATCTTTTCCCTCCAGATGTGTGGTGCTGGACTTTCAGCCAGCAACACAGTGGACCCCCCTGGAGGCAGCCTTGTGAGTAGTCAGGAGGGGCTGAGTGTGATCAAATGAACTTATACAAAAAGGTTTGATCAAAGACCTTTGACCTAAGCAGTCTTCTGACCCTTTTTTGGATTTAGGAACACGCCCCTAAATGTGTATGTTTTTGTCCATTATGTGCTTCACTCACAGTGGACTGGGATGTGGTTGAGCTCTCAGACAAACACTAAAATCCTTAACTAGTGGATCAGACATAGCAGCTGAGAGCAGTTTAGAAACATAATAGCTGGTATCCTCCTCTAAGCTAAGATAGCATCCTGCTGAGAGCAGGTCTGTTGGTGCCTCGGTGCCTCGCTCACTGCATCTCCATCATGTGACCCACTGACACAAACAGATGGATAAG